TTCAGAACATACTGTATTCTTTAAAAAAAATTCTTCCTGTACAATAAAGAATCTGAAAGAACAGGAGATGAGGAAATATAGCTAAGTGGTAGAATGCTTGCCTAGCATGCGTGAGGCCCTGGGTTCAATCCCTAGCATGGTCCCAAAAAAAAAAATATATATATATATATATATATATATATATATATATATATATATATATATATATGTATGTATGTATTTCTACTTGATACTTCTCATCTTCCATAATCTGGATGGTGGTTGCACACATGTAATACTTGGGAGACTTGGGTAGGGGAATCTCAAGTTTAAGATCAACCTGGGAAATTTAGTGAGACCACCGTCTCACAAACAATTGGTAAAATCTTGTGGTAATTTAAAACAAACAAACAAAAAAACCCCCAAACTCAAGCAAAACTACTTTAAAAATTCAGCATTTTCCAACCAAATTGAACACACAACTTGTTTTTGAGGAATTCTTATTGACATCCTGGAAACTGGTGTTCTATAGAATATAGTTTGGGAAATGCTATTCTAATGTGTTGAGGCTCTTTTGTACTGATCTTTGAAGCTACTTCAAAGTCTTAATTGGAAATTGAGTTTGGCAACATGTCTTTTCATATGCTAATCTAAAATATGGCCCCTTTCTTGCCTTTTTGTTTCCAATAAATATTTTTTAAAGAGCAGTTTTAGGTTCACAGCAAAACTGAGTAAACTAAGTATAGAATTCCCATATTCCTCCAGTTTCTCTGTCCCAAACAAGCAAACATAGCCTCCTCTATTAGCATTCCCCTCTAGAGTGGGCCATTTGTTATAATCAGTGAACCTGCATTCACACATCATTGCCCAAAGTTCATAGTTTACATTAGGGTTTACTTTTGGTGTACCCATTTTGTGAGTTTTAAAAAAACTATCCACCATTATAGCATTTTCACTGCCTAAAAATCTTCTGTGCTGTATTTATTCCTTCCTCCCTACAATTATAGCAACAGTTGATCTTTTTGGTATCTTCATGTTTTTTTATCCTTTACCCTGCTTGCTTTTTTGTAGCCTAATCTCACCATTTATTATATCCAGCCTCTCTTTCCATAACAGGTTTATTCAGCGTAGCCCTGTCACCTTACTGAGGAGCCAAGTAGTCATCCCAATCTTACAGTGGGCCATTGCCTCTACTACCCTGGATCACCGGGATGCCAACTGTAGTGTCATGAGGTTCCTACGAGACCTCATCCATACAGGGGTAGCCAATGATGTAAGTATAAACATTGTACCTTTCCTACTTAACAGATTATCATCTCTTCCTCACTTTTTAGGGGAAAACCAGTATGCTAGTAGGTCCATATTTGATCTGTATTACCAGTCATATATCATAGTTGATCATTCACCCCCTGGATTATTAACTCCAGATCTAAGGCAGCTGTGCTAAGTGCCTTAGGCATCTTGTAGACAAAGCAGTCTAAAACTGTCCCTGTTTCCAAAATATTTGGTGTCTAGTTGAAGAGATAAATAGACATAGAGATGAGTGATAAAAGTCATGATTGCTATGAGTCAGAATAGGGAAGGTTCTGGACAGAAATTAGTTGGGGTAACTGTCTTAAAAAGAAGAAACTTAAAGCCATAAGATAGAGATAGAGCTTTGATGGATTAGAGAGGAGGATAGTCTAATTGGTATATAAACTGTGATCAGGAAAAGTCAGAATAGCATGAAGTATGCTAGTAGACAATGAATAAACCTGTTTGGCTATGTAGTGAAGTGGTTCACAAGATTTTCAAAGGTAAATTTGTCTAGATGTTGAGTAGGATTGAAAGTAAAGAAGAAATATGTGAATGAACTAATAAGTAAAAAGTAATCAAGGTTTATTTTAAAAGGAAATAAGCAAGGAACAAGACAGGGAGGTGAACATGGGAGATGAAAACAAGGACATGAGTTACTTTTCACGGGGGAAAAATGCTAATCTTAATTCTTAACCATTGTTTCTCTTCTGCCTTCTAATCCTGAAAAATCAAATCATTAATATTAATCTCATCAGATACCTATGATTCCATTTCCCTCATATTAAACTCATATTTTCTTCCTAATGACAAAATATTTAATGGTCATTATGAATTCAGCTGTCACATAATGTACTTTTTTCCATGGTAAAGAGTACTTACTAGACTAATGGAGAGTGAGTTCTTGTTCTTTGGAAAGTGGAAACTAGAACCACAGTCATCTGACACTCCTGCTTTGTTACAGCATGAAGAAGACTTTGAATTACGAAAAGAACTAATTGGACAGGTGATGAACCAGCTTGGACAACAGCTTGTAAGCCAGCTGCTCCATACATGTTGCTTTTGTCTCCCCCCCTATACCTTACCAGATGTGGCTGAAGTGCTCTGGGAGATCATGCAGGTTGACAGACCGGTAAGATTCTTTCATAAGCAACCTATTCTCCTAATTCTTAAACTTAATAGACTTTGGTTCCTTGAAGCCTACCATAACTTCGAAACAAGCCCTTTTGCATATGTCCCTTAGAACCAAATTTAGGCATATTGCTAAGTTTAATTGGTAGTTGAAAGGGCCCAGAGAAGAAAAATAACTTATTATCATATTTATGTCTAAATAAACCTCTCATGAGGTTTGTACTGTGTATTACCAGAAGTAAGTACAAAGCATTGAAAGCATATGTGACTAGCCAGTAAGAAATTTTTTCCCTCATAAGAGATCCCATGTATCAGTTATAGTGAGTTGCAGATTATTCCAATATTCAATCACTTTGGGGAATTGTATTATTTCTTACTGATGTATCTAGCCAGAGCATTATACAGTTATGTCCAAGTAGTTTGAGTACTGACCACAGGATAATATTTTTAATATTGATAAAAAAGCTCTTTAGGAAAGTACACAGTTGACCTAAGTGAACTGTCCCTTTACTTATTTTGTATACATTTTGTTCCTACTCTTCCTTATATCTGAAATTTTATTTTGAATTTTTTTCTATATAGGCTCTGGAGTTTTGTGACATCTGTTCATTTTTTAAATATTGTGTAAGTTTAATGACAGAAACAGAATAATGGCTTATATAGAAAAGGCTTCACTTCCAAAGTGTAGAAGGACTTCATCTGAAATCATGCCTGCTCCCCCTCTGAAGGGAAGTCTAGGCTTGCATTTGCAGACTATATCAACCCAGAGCATTTGAGGGCATAAAGATAGTGCTTTGTTAATTCCTTTACTTGTTTCAAGTCTAGGGGGAAAATGCTAAGGAAAACCTGTGGGGTTTTGCCTATACCTATAAAGTCTCAGACATGTAAACCCTGTCTCCTTTTAAGATTCTTATCCTTTTTCCTTATACAGACCTTTTGTCGATGGTTAGAGAATTCTTTGAAAGGTTTGCCAAAGGAGACAACTGTGGGAGCTGTTACAGTGACACACAAACAACTTACAGACTTCCACAAGCAAGTCACTAGGTGAGTGACGCCAGAGGCTTGTGAAACAAGTGTGAATAGCATCTGGGGTATGTGGATAAAACATCTATGTTTCTTCTGTGCTATTGTAAATTCACAATTTAGTTTCTTTTAGTCTGAGACTGCACAAGTTGGCATTAAAAACCAATCTGGGGGGAATATCACCATACTATATATTTCTATATCACTTACATCATACATATCAACTAAACTGGTTTAAGAATAAGAGGAGGCACTACCTCTCCCAAAAGAAAAATGCAATCAGGAGATCAGTGTTTACCTTTCTGAGTCCCTTTTAGTCCATGTTCAGGGATCAAGAATGCTGTTGGATGGGCACAGTGGTGTACCCCCTGTAATCCCAGCGGCTCTGGAGGCTGAGGCAAGAGGATCTTGAGTTCAAAGGCAGCCTCAGCAAAATCGAGGAGCTAAGCAACGTAGTAAGAACCTGTCTCTAAATAAAATACAAAACGGGGCTGGGGATGTAGCTTAGTGGTCAAGTGCCCTGATTTCGATCCCTGCTACCTCCCCCTCACCACCCCCAAAAAAGAACACTGATTCTGAGTTGGTGATGTAGCGTAGTGGTATAGTGCTTGCCTAGCATGCCTAAAGCACTGGGTTCAATTGTATGTTTTTTTAAAAAAAATGCAGATTCCTGAATAGGTGAAGCATTGGTTATAAAGTATTAAAGGGTAATGTAGACTGCAGTGAATGAGAATTTTCCCCATGCCTAAAGATATTCAAATTCTAATTTCACAGTTGTATACATAAAACATCTCTCTGGGATGTTGTTTAGGACCCTGAGCCAGCTACTTGATCACAATTTCTGGATTATAGCTTAGTTAAAGTTTTTGTGTGTGTATTTTGATTGTGAATAGTAAACCTATTTAATGGTCTTCCTAATTACCATCTTATATCCATAAAGGTGTTACTTGATTTCCTTTTAATTTTTTTATTAATGGGTAGTTAGATTATTTTTATTTATTTATTTTTTGGTGTTAGAGATAATAACAGAACTGTATCTAGACGTGATTTGTAATACCTCTCATCCCAGCTACTCAGGAGGCTTGAAGCAGGAGGATTGCAAGTTTGAGGCTAGCTTGGGCAACTTAATGAGACCCTGTCTCAAAAAAAAAAAAAAAAGAAAGAAAGAAAGAAAAAGAAAGTAGGGAAGTAGCTCAGTGTCAGGTTCTTCTGGGTTCAATCCCCAGTGCCATTTAAAAACAAATTAAAAAATATATAAAAATGGTTAAGATGATAAATTTTAAGTTATATATATTTTATAAAGATTGTTTAAAAGATGTAGAATATTCGAAGATGTAGCATTTTTCTTCCTTTGAATATTTGTCTTAAAATATAATCACTGAGTCAAAATCTATAAGACTTGTATGGTCTTCAATAATATTAATGGCAGCAATTTAAATTGGATTTTATAACTGTCTTATCTTGCCCTGATACTTCTTTTTGCAAGAACAGTCTTTAGAATTTTTAATAAATTTCAGGCAATGGCTTAAACAAGTATGGAAAGATAAGGTCAGAGAATAAGTGTTGAAGTGAGATTGGCAATTGTGAAAAAAAAAATTGGAAATATTTTAATTGCCATGTTTAATAATTAATGGTATGACTGTACTAGTAAATAGTCACTAAAAAAGAAAAAGATGCACTGCCGCAGTCCGGCTGCAGCAAAATAACTGGGGGGTGACGAACAACTTGTGTACGTTGATACAGCAGGAATAGGAGCCGTTTATTGCAGGACAGGAGCAGTATTTATACATTCCACACAGCTTATCTAATTAGCATAAACTAGATACATCAGTCAACCAATAAGGAATCTCCACACTTAATGGCTCGCTTTTGTTACTTCTCAAACCACTCCCTCTGGCATTTTGCCAGGCACCATCCAGACTTGTTTACGAACTCTAACATTCCCCTGGCAAAATGCCAGGTGTTATTTTGACTTGTTTACAGACTCCAACAATGCACATGTTCTGGTACAAAAAATATACAAAACATTTTGTAAAGGAAGCTAATGGTATCACATAACCCAATTTGAACTTTTGAAACAATTTTTATAATAAAATATATAACTTAAAATTTATCATCTTAACCATTTTTACATATTTTTAATTTGTTCTGATTAATTATACATGACAGAATGCATTTGGCACATCATACATAAGTGGAGTATAACTTCTCATTCATCTGGTTGTATGTTATATAGAGTTACACAGGTCACATAATCATATATGCTCATGGAGTAATAATGGCTGATTCATTCTACTATCATTCCTCTCCCAAAATCCCCTCACCCCCTTCACTCCCTTTGTCTAGTTCAAAATACCTCTGTCCCCTCCCCTATTGTGAATTAACATCCACGTATCAGAGAAAACATTCGGCCTTTAGTTCTTTGGATTGACTTATTACACTTAGCATATTATTCTCCACATCCTTGTATTTACTGGCAAATGCCATAATTTCATTCTTCTTTGAGACTGAGCAATATTTCATTGGGAATATCTATCACAATTTCTTTATCCATTCATCTGTTGAAGGGCACCTAGGTTGGTTCCATAATTTAGATATTGTGAATTAAGCTGTATCACTGTAGTATGCTGATTTTAAGTCCTTTGGATATAGACCGAGGAGTGTGATAACTGGATCAAATGGTGATTTCTTTCCAAGTTTTCTTAGGAAATTTCCATACTGCTTTCTATAGTGATTGCACCAATTTGCAGTCACACTAGCAATGTCTGAGTGTACCTTTTCCCTTTCCCTCCACATCCTTGCCAACATTTTTTGTTTCTTGTATTCTTGATGATTGTCATTCTGACTGGGGTGAATTGGAGGTATGATAGTCAAGCAGCTCAGAAAGGCATCAGTAGTTATTGGGCGTCCTCAGAGCTTCCAGGTTTTAGAGAGTTTAAGAGAATGCCTCTGACATTTTTTTCCCTGTAGTTTTCTTTATTTTGTGCCAGCTCAGAAAAAAGCTCAAGGCAAATTTTAACAATGTCTTTGTGAATGACTTTCAAGATTTTGCTCTGCTGGAGCATTTTCTTGGGAGATGTTCAGAGGCAGGTCCTCAGAGTCAACCACACCATGGATAACGTTGAGATAATTCTGGTTTGCAAGTACAAGGCTAGCCTGAGCAACTTAGAAAGTCAGTTTCAAATAAAAACAGCTGGGAATGTAGCTCAGTGGTAGAGCGCCCCTGGGTTTAATCCCCAGTAACATACACACACCCACACCCAAACAACAAAAATAAAAACTGTAATATGTTAATTTAAGAACATAGTTTTTTGAGCTGGGATTGTGGCTCAGCAGTAGAGTGCTCGCCTAGCATGGGCAGGACCTGGGTTCGATTCTCAGCACCACATTAAAAAAATAAAATAAAATAAAGGCATCATGTTGTGTCCATCTACAAAAAAGATTCATATTCATTCTCTCTCTCTCTCTCTCTCTCTCTCTCTCTCTCTCTTAAAAAAAAGGACACAGTTTTTCTATTAGAAGCCTACAATAAATTCAGACATATGAAATATACTAAGTTGCTTTAACATTCAGAGTAAAGAATAATTTTCCATGTACTCTAAATTTAGGAGCAAAGAAATGACAATCATATCTAAAAAGAATAAGATAACAAAGTGATACTTATTGCAAACATATAAAGAAGGCAGGTATTTCTTAAGAGACCAATGCCTATTTTATAGTTTATCACCTAAAATAAAAATCATCATTGTCAGGCATGGTGATGCACACCGTTAATCCCTTCTCAGGAAGCTGAGACAGGAGGATCACAAGTTCAAAGATAGCCTGGACAACTTAGTGAGAATCTATCTTAAAATAAAACTGAAAAAGGGCTGGGAATGTAGCTTGGTGACAAAGTGCTTTCCTAGCATGTACAAGGCCCTGAGTTCAATGCCCAGTAACACACACGTACACACACGCATGCACACGCATGCACAACACTACAGCAACATTAATTCCAATAAACATTTATACACACACACACACACACAAGTATTCAAAGATTTGTAAAAAGCATTACTATAAAAATCATACTAATTATAAAATTTTTACTGTGCTAAATGGCTATCTTAAAATGGTCATGGATCCTAGAAATGCAGGCTCAACTTTCCTAAAAACCAAAGTAGGGCTGCTATGTAATTAAGGATTAAGGAATTCAAACAGTTAAGACTTTAGCTAACCACTGGAAAAAGATACAGCAGTAAAATATAATTTTAATTTTTTCAATCCATTTATATTACATTATGTTAACTTATATTAAATATATATAGAAGCATATAAATTTATAAGAAATAAAGTACCAACAATCAATAATTTCAAAAAAATATCAATTTTATCTATGACATTTTTAATTGGGATATGTTAGTCTTACCTCCGAAGTGTAATCATCTGCTGTGGTTGAAATCTCACTTTCCGGCTAAAACAAAAGTAAAACATGATTACAATTATGACATTTTTCCCCTGCTAAATATCATACTTTACAAAAAAAAAAAAAAAAAAAAAAATCCTGCTTTACTAAGACGTTGCTGTTAGTAACAATGATAGAAAATTCACAAAAATACTATTAAAAAACTAGTAAAAATTATCCAAATCTTTAAAAATTTCATTTCATTATGAATTATAATGACTTATAATAATGCATATAAAATTTATCACAAGGCATTGTTATAAATACAAAAGTACCAAGAACTTTTACATATATAGTAGATGTCATCTGTAAGCCAAAAGCATCAAAGACACCATTCCTTTAATTCATGTAACTCTTTTAAATAAAAAACTAAATCCTTAACATGCCATCAGAAAAGTTCAAGTTCTTTAAAAGAATCATCAGTTCTTGATGCTAAAAAGTCAATGACTTTGTCAGGCTTCCCTCAGGTGGATGCTAATGACTTTTCACTGCCACTACTTTCTAGTTAGAGGTAGAATGTTTTAAAATCTGGATGAATACTTACATCAAAAGAAAAGACCTGCTCATGCTTAAGCATTTCTTCATTGTTTAGAGTTCTCATTATTGTGGATTCAGGCATCACGGCTGATCCAACACCCTGAGAACTATTTATCAACATCTCCTCACTCTTTGGTTGATCAATATTCAAGCCATGAACATCATTTTTACTGCTTGAGGTTTTCTTCTTTTTTGGCTTCTTATGAGGGTTTTGTCCATCCAATCGAGCTCTTCTTTGTCGAAACTCGGCAAGCTACAGGAAAAAAGTATCATTAACATCAATGATAATTTTTCTTTGGGATCACTTTCTTTAAAAGATCAAACTATCACCAAGTTAAAATGATGATAATAATATAGACGACTTCACAGTTTCAGAATAACTATTGGATTGAATATTCGGGTTGTAAAGGTTGTAAAACTAGGTACTTGTGAATGAACTTATTAAATATTGAGGGGTAAGAAATGAACATGTCAAGTCTAAAGAAGAGGAAATTAGCTGAGTTAGGGGAATAACTATTCTATAACTAGAATAGGGGAATAGAGGGACTCTCATTCACAGTATAATCTCTGGATTTAAGATTATATGAAAATATACACAAAAACAAGGAGCTCCGAACACACTTGTTCTGTTCTACTACTTTATACAAAAGATATCGTCTATAATTATCTTTTATACAAAAAAGATAATTAGCCTATTAGCTATACAAATGCTCACCGCAGCCATATTTATAGTTGGAAAAACTTACAAGTAACTTAAAATTTTAAACAGCAGTGTTTTCTACCCTTTATCATTTGTCTGTCATCATCAGAATTTGTACCAAACCCTAGTCATCGATACATTATCATTTACTTAATATATTTTAAACAGTGTATTTTCTTTAAGTTTATTTTAAAAGGAGATGGAATCTCTGGCATAAATTGAAAGTTAATATCACTTGTTATTTCTTTTAAGAGATAAGTTGAAAATAAAAGAAATGATAAATCTATTATTGAAATTTTAGTTAGAGGTTGCTGAAGGCTATGAAAAAAAAATGGACAAAATAAAAGAGTGTTAAAGGCAGACAAGCATCAAACAGATTTTCGTTATCATAAGCAGAAAGAAAACTGAAAAAGGTAAAAACTTTCTTACTATACTATCCAAAGTTTTTTAAGACCTAAAATATTTTCTTACCACCTAAAATCAGAAGTACACATTATATACCAGGTAACACTAGACTAATTATGGTGAACTTATATTAAAAATACCAAGGGGCAAGCAATTGCTATTAAAGACTTTGTGATATAATAGCAGGTATAAACTAGTATTGTAGCATATCTATTTCTTTTCATGAAAGGAAAATTACACTTCATTTTTAAAAAGATAAGGCAAGTCTCAGGCTCATAGCTTTCAATGATTATATCCAGTATGAATTTAAACATCATTATATTCATAGGCATAGGTAAATTCTGGAAAACTACAACCTTAACAACTTTTGTTGACATTTGGAGTTCAGATTTCAGGTATTTTTCCTATTGCTCACTTACATTTTATTTATTTATTCTTTTTTTTTTTTATAGAAACAATTGTTTATATTTCAATCTTAAACATGGCTCTTAAAACAATATATAATATGATTTGTAACTAAATCTGCAAAACATATGAAGACTATACTTAGTCTACTATTTCTCTGGTAAAGAGTCAGACAAAACAATTTTTCTGTTTTAAACATTCTGGCAAACAGAAAAAAAAAAGATGGATCAAAGTAGTATGACAAATTGGCAATAAATCCATTATGGACAAAAAGTGGCACTAAAGTGAAATTTAAAAACATTGCTTTCTATATATGCACATGTAACCTTATTTGAAGATGAGTACTTACAAAGATTCTTCTAGAAAACTATAAACCAACTTGATAATCCAGGCTTTTAATTTCCATAATATTTAGTGTTCAGTAGTTTCAGCTGAATATTTAAATATCCAACATAATTTTATGTCCCACTTATACTATTCAGTGTTTGCATACAGACTGCAAATATTATAAGAGATATTATAGACTAACACTTATAGTATTTTCCAGAATAACTTTGATTTTGAATAAAAACTGGAGCATTTGAGCTTACCCCTCCTCCCGCCTCCTTTTCCCTAAATTCTTCATTCTAAGAAGTCATTAGAGATTGAATTTAAAATAAAAATAACAACTTTGTAAATGTTAACAAAAAGGGGTTGTTTTAAACAGATTTCAGTAAAAATTTCTATATACAAACATTAATAATCAAGTAGCATCGACAGTGACAAACACTAAACTTTCTTTAAAATCCCAGGAGCTTCAATTGTAGCAGCTGCAGCACACAGCCTTATGATAGACATAGGCTAAATTATTAAGACTGAGAATATGGGACAAGGTAAACAAGGAAAAGTGAACTTAAGCCGGTACAGTTCAAAAAGTAAAGTTTACAAGTAAGCTATATCAGAAAATCAACTGCCAGAATATAAACAATTAATTACCACAGCTATAATAAATCTCTTAAGAATGGAAGACAACAAAGTAATTCTTATCACAATATACCAGTAGTAGAAAACAAATTAATTATTCACAGTCTAAGAGGCTTTCCTTGGGGGAGTACATGAGGGGAGGGTGCAAAAGCTTACACAATTGAAAATGTGAAATAAATTCAAACTAAGATTTTATGAAAAAAATTTAAGAATGTTTCCCTTGAGGGAAAATAATTTTCTACAACTACTAAAAAAAAGCACCTATGAAACTGTGCTGTTGGCTGACACAATGGAAGTTTTGGATTCTTTGCAGCAATTGCAGCATAACAAATGGCATTTTTCACAGCATAACTTGAGGGAAAATGTTATCTAGTTTGAAATCATACAGAAAGCAATTAAAAATTATTTAAATTATTCATAATACACAAATTTTTCTGGGGAGCAGCAGTTGCTCCTGTACTTGCCCTTTTAGAAAGTATGAAACAGAAGCAATAGAGTAGGGAAACAAACTAAAGGAAAATAAGAGCAGCAGAGTTAAATTAAAAAGCAAATACTTAAATACATTAAAGAGAGCTTAAAATAAGGAAACAGTATTGTGCAACTCTCAATTAAACTAAGTAAAGTGCACTGCCTAAATATTTACTGATAACATTTTCCCTATGTTGAAAATGCAAAATCTACTTATTGTTGATATATTTTTTTTTTCTAAAAGACATTCACTATTGTAGCCCTGATAGCTCTCTTCCAGTATTTTTAACCATTCAGATATATTTTGGGGGAATATTTATTCACATAATTTTGCTTAATACATTATTTTTTCTACACAAGGCTCAATTTAAAAGTCTCTAACATTTTCAATAAGAGTAATAACACATTAATAAATTATAAATGAACAAAATCTTTGTATTTGCTTTAAAAAATCATTTATCAAATGTTAACTTCCAGATTATCTGGAAAATTAAAGGTGTGAATTGCTATAAACCTGACATCCCAATTTTAAATCCTGATGTTTAAAGGTATATAAAATACCCCTCAAATTATTCCAACTTCCACTTCAGAAATTTCTGTTTTACTCTTTTTCATAAATTTTAAGCTTATGCTCTGCTACACATTTTACCCAAATGTGGGAAAACTGCCTGGAGATGCAAAGTACAATAAAATAATCACATGAAAAAAGAAAAAAAAAATACCCGTTAAAACAAAAGTTATTATAGCTGGCAGCACTTAAAATGAATAATTTATATTATTTTAAAAGTTGCATAGCTGCAAGATGATTGCTGATTAAATGTTGAGCAGTTTTATTTAAGAGGAAACAATATATTTTATAAACTACAATTCAGTAGACAATTTCTACATTTATTTAATTAAAATGTAATTATGTAACTTGATTTATTCTTTGGGCAGCATTCTGATAATATTTAAACCTTTAATTTAAAAACAAACATATTTTAGTTTTCCTATGTAGAAATTAGTTTTCCACACTTGGGGGAAAAATGGAAGAACTTGAGATCATGGTCTACATTCAGAGAATGTTTTACTGCTTGATTACATTTCTTGGTTTCACATTTAAGACTTTATGAGAAGTAACTTATATGGTTTTTCAATTTAAGAATAAGTGAATGCAAAAACATTATGTTGGGGGAAATAAAAGAGACCCCAAATTAAAGAAACAAAACAAAACAAATCAAAACACAGCTAGTTGCGCAGCTCTAGAGAACTGAATAAAAAGTAAATCAACTTTTAAATCAGTTAACTTTGGCGTCTGAATACAAAATGTTCATCAGTATTACCTATGTAGATGACTATTAAGGGATGTGCAGCATTTTCAAAATCCCTGTGTGTCCCTTATATGCAAGTTTGGTACACTGAGTTCTGTGGTTACTGTCCTCTCTTCAGCAGGATGTTTTTTCTTTTTTCTTGTGTGATTGTCCATCTCTGTATTACCAAGTCTCACAGAACTCAGATTTCTGGCTGAGTAAGCCTGCATTTTTGTTTTTCCAGAGACAGATCCTCAAATCCTCTAGATTTTTCAAGCATCCTATAAAACAGGAATCTGATGCTTAATCTGAAGGGTGCTCAGGACAAGATCTATTTACTTCAAACCATTCATCTATGCAGCTTTTATGATATATGCATAGGCAAGGCAGTCGTGCTATAGTATCTCCCTGCTGCAATTCTTCAAGACATATTGCACATTCCCCAGCATCTTTACTCAGTACATCCTCATTATAGGTTATTCTTGGCTTTGTTAAACACATCACAAGGTGCAAATCCATTTCATCAGAGGGTACAAATTTTGAGCATACAGGGCACTTAAATCCTCCAAACATGTGCGGCGAGAGGTGAGCTGGGAGGGAGCCGATCACCAGGCGCGGCCCGCCGGGGCCCCCGCCCGCCGGCCGGTCCCTGCCGCCGCCGCCGCCGCCCTCGGGGCTGCTGTGCACCGAGTCCTGCGAGCCGTAGGACCGCTGCTGCTGTTGGGGATGCTGAAGGAGGACTGCGCGGCTGGGGCCCCCGACGCCACGCTCCCCACGGCCCCGCCGAGGGAGCGGCTGTGCGGGGCTGCCGAGGCCGCGGCTGCGCCGCCCGAAGCGCTGGGCTGATGTGCACTAGGCACCTGAGCCGGAAACCTGCCCGCGGCCGCCTCCCGAGCCCCGCCGCCGCTGCCCGCGGTCTCATTGGCCCCTCCGCTGCTGCTGGAAGGTAGATCCGAGCCTGAGTACGCACGGGTACGGCCGTTAGCGGTGGCCGGGCCGCTCTGCTTGGCGCCCATGTCCTCCCTGCCCCGGGCCGGGCCCGCGCGTAGGGCCCCGAGCGCCGGGAGGGAGGGAGCGAGCGGAGGAGCGAGAGGGCAGGGCCGAAACGCCGCGGCCGGCCCACTGGGACCCCCGCACTTCCAGGGCCACCGCTGGCGCCCCGAGGGGCGGTCGGCACGCGGCGCGCTTTTCTCCTCGGGGCGGCGGGCGAGGCCGGCGACCTGACTGGGCGCAGGAGGTGAGGTGACAGGGAGGAGGGCCTGGTTCGGCCGCGGCCGAACTTCTTGGAGCATAGCAGATCATTCTTAAAAAGTCGTTCCCCAGGCCTCCTCCCACCCTTTCCGGCCACCGCCTCCCACCTCTGGCCCGGCGGTCCCCGGCTCTCCTACCAGCGCTCGGCCGATTTCAATCTTTCTCCTTCTTTCTTCGTCCTCCATGGCTTCTGCGGGGTAGGCAGGGAAAGAACGGGGAGGGGGTCGGGGGCAGAAAGGAAAAATCGGTTCAGACCGAGGTGGGACGGCTAGCTCCGCGACCCAGGCCGCAGGGCCCGGCCGGGAGCTGCCTCTCCGCCCCCCCGGAACAAAAACAGTCAGTCGCTGCAATCACTGGCGAATCGTCCTCGTCCACACGAGTACAACGGCCGCCACCGGCCGCCACCGCCACCTTCGTCTCCACCTAAACAGAGTGAGGCGGAGTCAAGACACGTCACAGCCGCAGGCGTTGCCTAGCAGGTGCGCAAGCGGCCCCGCCCCGCCTGCCTCGCCTGGCAGTTCTAACCCAGTCCTCTGCAAAATTAGTGAGGCCCTAGCCACCTTAGTGAGACTGCCTTAAAAAAAAAAAGAGGGCTGGGAATTTAACTCAGCGGTAAAGCACCCTTGGGTGTCCATCTACAACTAAAAAATACATATTAAAAAAATAATAAACATGGCTAAGCACTCAAATGCATTCCTACACATGAGTGAGGAATTCACTGAAAGAGAATTAGGAGCCCTCACTGATACCCTGTGAATAGGTATTATGAGGAGGATGAAGCAAAGAGAGGCAGAGTATTGAGTCCATATACAACTAAAATTTTTTTAAAAAAATAAAAACTACTATAGTAAACAAACAATGAAAAGACAGGAGGGGCTCCTGTTTAGGTTGTTCATTAAAAGCACCAGTGGAGGGCTGGGACATAGCTCAGTTGGTAGAGTGCTTGCCTCGCATGCACAAACCCTAGGTTCAATCCTCAGCACCACAAAAAAAAAAAAATCACCAGTGGAAGAGAGGAGGACGACCTTCACAGTCCTGGAACCCCCATCTAGGAGGGGAAGTCAAGGCAGAATTCCTAAGGAAGGAGATGCTGATAGGAAATTTGAAGAACCAGAGTTATCAAGTAAACAATATTCCAGAAGGAACAGAATATGTGAAAGTTGAGGCTGGCAGCGAGGCCCATCTATGCAACCAAAACAGTGTTCGTAATGGCAAACCAATGGTGAAGGTAGCGGTGAAAGAAAAGGCGGGTCTGGCGCCAGTGACACCTCCACTAAGAGAGGAGCTGGGGTGAGGCAGGTGTGGGGTTGAGGATGAGAAATGGAGAGCGGCCCAGAGATCCTCCCCTGCAAGCTGGGGCGTCGCAGTCCAGGGCTAGGGCCACGCTCCCACGGGGTGCCAGCGGGTGCTGGGGAGGCCCGGGGCTATCTGCGGCCTCAGGAGCCCTGGTATGTGGCTCCAATGACAACCTGCGTGCATCAGATCTTGGGCTTCTGGAGGGCGCGGGCTGGGGAAACCCTGGGTCCCCGAGCATTGCAGCAGGTGGAGGGCAGCTGTCGGTTGACTGTTTTGCGGTTCCAGATTTCTGAAGTAGCCCAGTGACTGGTCCAGGGAACCTCGCTGCCTGGAGTCTCCCCGGAGGCCCTGGGCCTGGCCGGGTGCTCAACGCAGGTCCGCGGTCGCCGGGTCAGTGCTGGGGCTCGGGGTGGTTCCGCGGGGCGGGGCGCTGCCTGCGCACTGAGGCTCCGCAGCGGGGGCCCAGGGGCGTGGGCGGCGCGATGCGGAAGTGCCAGGCTGGTTCATCCACCCGCGGGAGGCGCAGCTCCAGAGGGGCGCAGCTCGGCCCCGCCGCCCGGCCGGTGCTCGCGGGCACAGCCGAGAGGGCGCACCGCAGTCAGGTAGGTCTCCGCCGCAGCGCACTCTTTCGGCGCCGCCGCCCAGCGCACCCTGAGCGCAGTGAGAGCGGTACCCTGTTGCTGCCAACCCACTTCCTCGGCTTCAACTACGGCTGGCACCTCCAGGACCCTGCCGGGAGGGCGGGTGGAGTCCGTGTCCAGCTCCTCCTGGCGCCCAAGCTCTAGTGGGCACCTACCGCAGGGCGTGCCCAGCGGCCTGAATGCCTCCAAGGTGCCTCCCACGCGTCGATGAGCTTGGGGTGCTGGGCACTGGCTGCCATCGTCCCGGGGAGAGCCCCAAGGCTTGAACCGAGAAGTGGGCACCACTGTCGAGGGCGCCTGCTCTGCTGCGTCTCTCCCTTTGCTTCGCCATTGCCAAGGACTGGAGCAGCACTCTGGCGCCTGACGGGAGTGTAGCTGGGGACACCGTGGAGGGAGGCTCCGACTCCAACCCCACGCCACGAACCCTATCAGAGCGATTCCTCTACCTCGGCCATTCTTCACCCTTTCGGGTAAGAAGTTGAGATTTCAAGCAGTCACTCTGCCAGGATCTTAAAACCAGTGAAGAGCGTTTGGGGGAAGATGGTGTCAGATGGAGTTGTCGTGTATCCTTTGACTCACGGCCCAGAAAAGTAGACACTGACTCTCCAAGCAGCGGAGAAGAGTCGGGGTGCAGTAATTTTGGGGTAGCTCTTATTGACTTGAGAAGGAAACAAGTCTAAAAGTGGAGGGAAAGTGAGACTAGTGTGGCCGAGATGCGGGGGAGGAGATGGTGAGGACCTGTGCACCGCACTCCGCCGCCGCTGTAGTCTCTGGTCTCCGGGAGGCGCCGGAGCGGGTACCCAGGAGCGGGGGTGGAACGAGGGGACTTTCCTGGCCTTGCCCTGGCATAACAGGGCGGGGAAAGAGCGGGGGCACAGCAACCTGAAGAGGTACAGCGGGTACTTGGGTGTACAGCGGCACCGCGGGCTACCCCGGGGGTGCGGGTGGTCAACCCCGCGCCCAGTCTGCGCGGGAAATCGCGAGGGCCAGCCTTGGCCTGGACCCCAGAGCGGTAATAAGTGAGCAGGACCAGAAAGGATGTAATCTGAGCCGGTAAGGGACGCTGGAGGTCTTTAGGTGAGAGCCCCGGGACCGGAGGCAGAGTCCCCGCCCCCGCCCTTTAGCTCTCAGGCTTGGGGCGCTCCCGGCTAGTGACAAGGGAATCGTTGGTAAATCACCCCTTCTAACCCAAAGGACTTACTTTGGGGTTTCCCCTTGCACCCTGGCCTTCCCCTAACCCTTCCTGCAGCACCTGCTGCCCCGGAGTCTCAATGTGTTTGGACTTTGAGGGGGGCCAGGTCCAGGGTGTGTCGGCTCACCTGGAGGGGGCGGGTTTTAGGGGTTCTGCTAAGGGAACCCCTTGCCTTCTCCCTGAGTTGAGTGTGGAGTTTTCAGGGAGGCATGTGAATCAGAACCTCAGGAGGAAGCAGAGGGACCAGCTGTTCTGCCAACTATTACTTCCACTACTGCTGACTTTTTCCCTACAGCTCCCTGGTTCCTGGGTGTTTCCCCCTGCTCAAGTGTCCTCTCCTGGGTCTTTAATAGGGCCCTATTATTTAATAGGGCCCTATAGAGCTGAGGGGTCTCTCCACCCCAACAGAGGCTTCAGGACTGCCAGTTTCTGGGGGCTCCCTCAGAACTCCAGCAGCCCACACTCTTCAACATTTCCATGGAAAGTATTGGAGGAGCTCTTGGTTTACTCTGCTTTCCAAGGCTCAGTCCTCAGAGCTGCATAAATTTCACCTCAAGCCTCCAGACCCTCCATCAGGCAGATGTACTCAGACACTGGAAGTCAGAACTCACAGTTTTGGGGAAAATCTGAATCAGATCTAAGCCCACTGTGGGGCAGGAGAAAGCTTCTTGGGAGATGGATGATGAGCCTGATCCTGCTCAAGGGAAAGGACCTCACAGAACTGGTCGTGGTCAGAAGTTCTTGAGTCTGAAGACCCTTCTGCAGCCTGGAGGACAGACCTTCTTAGCTATGGTGGGGCTTGTTGTAGAAGCCCTTTCTCCATACCTTGTCCCTAGACCACTTCAAGGGACTGCAGCTTTCTGACACTGAAGCCAAAGTTATATTTTCAAAAACTTGCTCTGAATTAGAGAAGTGTTGGGTTGAGCCAGATGGCTGGACTCACCCCTGCTCCTCCTTAGCCCCAGCAGCAGGAAGCAAAGGGGGTTTTCTGGTCTCCCAGCAAAACCGTTCCTCCAGCTTCAGACCTGGCCATGCATGTGGGGGTCAACAGAGTAACTTGCCCACCCACTTGGCATCATAGAAGAATTGCCTACTGCTGGTCACAGTTATCCTTCTATTGTAGGACTAGGGACTCTGGGGCTACAAATAAAAACATGGGTGAGTAAGGCTCCCCAATGTTTAGGACCACACCAAATATGCTGAGATTGTCTGCTGGCTTGGGAGGTAGGGAATAGGCTAGGGATGGGTGGTTGGAAGTTTGGTCTTGGGGACTCACTTGTGAATTTTCTCTACATCCCCTCCCTCCCTAAGTCCAGAGTGAGTCAGGTGTCTGAGATGTCCCATCAGACCACTTTCATTTCCCTTGGGGCTGGGTGGAGGCTAATATAGAAAGAGGAACTGAGCCACAGTCTTCTGAGGCCTGGGGGCAGGGCTGGGAGCCTTGCTATCCTCCTTGTCCCGGTCTGTCCTTACTCTGCTTGGGTCCCTTGTAGCTGAGCTGGGCACTGCTCTGAAACCTGCAGAAAGACGCCCTGGCAGTCTCGAGGTGGAATGTAGCAGCTGCAACCCAAAACAGTACTAGGAGAGGAACTTCAGGGGAAACTGAGGCTCTGTACCGCAAGGCCCAAGCGGGCCTGGAATGACAAAGGGTCCAGCTCAGCCCTTTGTTTCTTACTTGCTGAGCAACATTCCCCTCAGAGTCCAGTTGGTATGATGGCTCTCTCCTTTTGGTCACTGACCCTGGGGTTACAGACTTTGGGGCAAGCAACGGAGAAAAACTGACCAGGAGCAGGAAGGGGCTCCAGATTGTGAAGAATTTCAGTTTCTGGGTTGGGAGGGGGTACAAACAGGTGGAAAGGAGGACACTTCATGTGTCCTGTTGACCTGACTCCAGTGAGGCAGAGACTGGGGCCCAGGTACCCACGGGGAATTGTGAGATCTTGGCTCTGTACTTCCTGCATCTGTGTGCAGTACAAGCCTGCACACCCTAGGGGCTTCCTAAACGCTGAACAAACGTGTATCCAGTGGAAGATGGGGCAGGAAGAAGTAGCTAAGAAATGG